AATTAAAAGGCTAAGGTCATTCCGGGTTAACTTCACTCGGGGACTCCTAATTAGGCATTGCCTAAATTAAAAGGCTAAGGTTATTCCGGGTTAACAAAACCTGAGGGTATGAAGCTTATTTGGCATTGTCCGAATTAAAAGGCTAAGGCCGTTCCGGATTAACAAAACTCGAGGGCATGAAGCGTATTTGGCATTGCCCGAATTAAAAGATTAAGGTCGTTCCGGGTTAATATAACCCGAGAGCATGAAGCTTATTTGGCATTGCCCGAATGAAAAGGCTAAGTCTGTTCCGGGTTAACAAAACCTGAGGGCATGAAGCTTATTTGGCATTGCCTGAATTAAAAGTCTAAGGTCGTTCTGAGTTAACAAAACATGAGGGAATGAAGATTATTTGGCATTGCCCGAACTAAAGGCTAAGTCCATTTCCGGGTTAACAAAACCCGAGGTTACAAAAGCTTACAAAAACCTGAGCAAAACACACTCTCGGCAAGTCATATTCTAAAAATTATAAATATTCGGGGAAGAGTTCCCGGACACACCGGATCCCATGATGCCTTAGAGATAATGAAATCAAAGTCAAAGCATGTTCGGAATGATGAACATGACTATTTAATGCTAAGGCATTTCAATCTTTGCAAAACATAAAAAGAAAAGCAAAGGAAGAACTCGAAAATTATCAAAACATAGAAAACTTGTATTTACGAAGTATTTTCTTTACAAAGGCCGAGCATCCTCGACACAGAGTACTAAGTACAAAAAAAGAAACAAAGTCAAACAGTGGCAGCCTAATCTTGCCCGGAGCCCGCCTCGTCATTGAGATTTTCGGGGTCTTCTCCAGCCTTGGACCTGCTTGAGTCCTCGGAATCTTCCTCTTCGGGATAGGCCAACTTCTTGGCCTTAGCTTCGAGCACCCCAGCATCCTTGATCTCGGTCGATAAGTCAAAACCCCGAGCGTGAACTTTCTCGAGGGCCTGCCTTCGATATTGCCACTTCATATGCTCGGTTATATTTTTCGATTGATCTTGAGCAGCTTCGGCATCGGCCTTGTACTGGGCCACCATTTCAGCAACTTTGACCTTGGCCACGACGACTTCTGACTTGGCCATTTTAAGCTCCTTGGCCAAATTATCTCGATCTGAGAAGGCCGAACGGAGCCGAGATTGGAGCTCCTCAACCTTTTTTGTCTGAAACTCGGCCCTTTCCTTTATCGTTCTTAGCTGGATTTTGGCCGATTTTTTGTTGGACCTGTGGATTTTGACCATCAGTCACCGAATCAAATTCATCATCACTTACTTTGAAAACTTTTAACTGCTCAACCAAATCTGCATGATCCTTCCGAGCCACTTCCAGCTCATCACGGAGGTTCTTAGTCTCCCCTTTGAGCTACTCACTAAGAAGTTTAAAGGCATCTCTCTTCTCATTAAGCTCTTGAGCTTCGGCTTCGAGTTGTTTTAGGTCATCCCGGTACCTCAAAAAAGCCTCGTGATGAAGCACCGAAGCCTACGAACAAGAAACTCTAAGCCATCTGCGAAATAATCTAAGTATAAATCAAAAATTCACTTAGGAAATCATGAAGTTACCCAGTTCAGCACCTATTCCGCTTTATTGAAAAGGAAGGGTGCATCCACCTAGTTCATCTTAGCTTGATCATCCTCGGTCACCAGGCACCGAAGATAGCTGGCCACCCCTACGGGGTCAAAAAACACTTGGGCATCCTCCGGAAGGGAAAAAACAATGGTGTGTTTCCGACCAGGATATGTACTCGGGGCTGGGAATCGATTGATCAATTTCGGGCTCGAAGAAGGCCCACTTGCCTCATAGGGTGAGCTCTTCCTCGGTATCTCTAAATTTCCAAATCCAATGGCATCCTCCGTGGCCATCCAATCAACACCGTCAAAAAAACCACGGAATGGGTCGTTCGATCTATGGGCCCCATCGATGGGGCGTTCTTTTGCAACTTGGGCCTCGTTAAACATAGACTTTGTGAAATAGGGCGACTCGGCAATCTCTATTGGGCCGAGTGCTTCCTGCAGGGCTTTGCCCATATCTCAGGAAGCCTCAGTTCATGCCTCCACCTCGGCCTCCCCGACATGATGAAAATCGGCCTCGCCTCCCCCTGGTTCGGAGGCCCCTTGCCCTTCGAGCTACATCGACATATTGGCCATCATATCAAAGGCTTCTCCTTCCCCCTATAAATCATCCCTCAATTGATAGAGTGAGTCTGGGGACAGTGCTCGACCACTGGTGCTTCCCTTGGGTTTATGCGCCAATCTTTTCCTTGGCCTCTTCTTATCAGGGCCCGGAGAACTCGGAGCCTTTTTTCCTTTTCTTCTCTTTATCCTACCCCGAAGCAGGGGGCTCAGTGAAGATAGCGTCATCACCAGATGGAGGCCTCATCTCGACATCTTTTGGTAAACCTGCAAAAAAGAAGTAAAAGCGAGTTAGAAATCGATAGCGCGAAAGGGAAATCAAAGTCACTTGAGAAAACTCTTACCATGGGAACGAGCTTCCCATCGGCCCTTCAAGAGCTCGCGCCATGAATGCTCGGAATAAAGCCTTTATTTTACAATACCCTCGACCCATTCCTTGAGTCGGGGAACCGCGTTCGGCATCCGAGCAACAACTGCTCCACCACAAAATATAGATAAGAGGGGAGAAAAAGAAAAGAGCAACGAACGAAATCTTAAAAGCGAGATTATACTTACGTTTCATATTCTACTTTTCAAGAAATGGCATATGCTCGGCTGGGATAGAATCCGAGGTCTTCATTCAGAAAAAATGACCTAACCAGCCTCGGTCCCAATCTTCATCGATGCTGGAAAATGGAGCCTTACTGGCCTAACGGGACAGTTTAATCAGGCCACCTCGATAAAGTTAGGGGCTATACAAGCGCATAAGATGATCGATGGTGAAGGGATACCCCTCGATTTTGCTCACGAAGAAGCGGAGGAGAATTACTATTCTCTAGAATGAAGAATGTATTTGACCGAGGGTCACCTCGTACCTCTTACAGAAGGCAATGATGACCGGATCTAAGGGGTCCAGCGTGAAGGGGTAAGTGTAAACACTTAAAAAATCCTCCATGTGGGTAGTAATCGCTTCCTCGGGCATGGGGATCACTACGTGTTTATCAGCCCAGTTGCAATCTTCCTTGACCTTGGCAAGGACACTATAGGTGATCGAGCATATATATCTCGAGACTGTCTCACACCGGACCGATACCAAGGAGGTTTTTTCGACCTTGAAATCAGCTCTGGTTGGGCACCCCGTAGGGACAAACATTTGCAGAGGAGATTCCGGTGTCGGCTCCTCGGCAGCGGCAGATGAAATATTTTTCTCAATAACCGATTGTGAAGCAGAGGGAGTTTCTTTTTGGGGAACAGATTTTGAAGTCTTTGCCATTGCTTTTAGTGAAAAGGGTGGAGAAAGGGAGATGTTAATGAAAGAGAAGGTATGATTGACACATGAGCCACTTTTACGGAAGTTTCCAGAAAACCAGAACGGAAGAAGTTTGAATATAAGCCAGAAAACCAGAGAGTGAGAGTGATGAAGTTTCTTAAAGCACAAGAACAAAAAGTTTGAATGTAAAGTTCAAATGGATAAGTGAGAGGGTATTTATAATTTTCCAAACGACGGTACACGTCTTGGAGTGGCCGACCGTTAACTGACACATATTTAATACCTAGAAGACTGGACCAATCGGACGTTTCAACTATTCTTATCACTTACGTCATGATTTTGCCGCTTACTTCATGATTTATCGAAGAGGAAATCGGGAGCTCACATGGTTTCTTGTCATTTACTCTCCGAAAAACGAGAGGACTATCTATATACGGGTAAAATCGAACTCAGGATTTGACCGAGCATCCAACACGACAATTTGGGATCAAGAGATGGTGATAAAATCCTAGAGATCGGTCCCTGCCTTACCAAAATTAGCCAACGAAACCACCAGACTTGCCTTCGAGTTTATCGAGGTCATAATCGGTCCCGGTCATAACGGTTTCAAGAAATATATCGCCAGCTTATCCGACAGGGGTCCGAAATTCCCGCAACTAACCGAGCATTACGGCGAAAATCACGGAACATACCAAAAAAGGGACCAACGGTCAACAAATCAAGGATTGTTTTACCTTTTATGGAATAATAGGTTAATGCCTTAAAAGTAGGTTCCTCTAATATATAAAGGGGCCTCACTATTCATGAAACACATTGTAACATACACTCATAAACAATACATTATCGTTATCCTCTAAATTCTTATTCTTTGGTATCTTGGTGTCAATCAAAGTACATTCAACTTGAGGGTGGTCAGCTTGCCTAGGCTGAAATCATCTGATTCGTGTGGTTTGCAGTTTATTTATCGTTATTTATTTTAGTTGCAATCTAATTTATCGTTCAGTATCAAGTTAATCCGCATATCCTTTAAACTACTAATAAATTAAATCATTATCCGATTTTGAGGGTAAACAGACTTCTTTTGCGATCAGCAACAATTTGAGAAAAGTTGAACACCTCTGTCATTTTATTGATCCCTATAAAGAGGGACGAACTGATATTATAAAAGCAGAATACCTAATTAACCCCTAAACTTTGCATCGTTTATTTGGTGCACGTTTAAACTATTCGTAGTACTAATTATCATCCCCTTGGCTATTTGAAGCTCACAATGTATAGACACCTCCCCATTGAATTGTGCCTCAAAAGTGAAAAGTTGTGGTTCATGGAATCTAGGTTATTTACTTATTTATATGAAAAAGGGACCAAAATATATATACTCCAGTAAAGCTTTGGTAGGAATTAGGAAAGGGGGAGAAAAGCATAAGTTAGTTTGAAAAACAAATCTAGTAGAAGAATATGCAGTTCCGCTTGCCCCAATTTGGACCTAGAATCCTTAACTAACAATTTCATTTTGTCGAGATTTTCAGCAGTGATACATACACAAGTAGAAGAAATTTATATTTTCTTACAAATCCAAATGTACATAGTATATGCTTTACAAAATAATTCATGTGTGTAGTCAGATCTGAATAGTGACATTCTCCAGAAGCTTACCAGAATTCACAACTAATTAATAATCTTAAAAGATTGAAGACGCGCAAATACATGAAAACATACAGTACAAAATATTTGTTAGTTGAACTGCAAGTTCTGAGGAATAAGAGACTAAACTCATGTTCAGGCATTCCGTACTCCCTCCATCCTATCGGATTGCCCTATTTACGTTCCAATTGTTAGTTTAATTGGTTTGACATCAACGAAAAATTAATTCGTCCTCCAAAACAACTTTCAAACATTTTGAAACTAGTTACCACTTATAATAATAGACCACAAAGTCTCAAACTTTCATATCCTGAAATCTTGAAAAGTATATTTATAAGAAAACTGTAATCTGCATATATTTTTCTTTATAGAGAAGCAAAAAAACGTAGTGCCCTTTAGATGGAGGGAGTACTAATTAAGGTAAAACTCCCCACAATTCCGGACTCAAATCCGTATACTACCCGAATTGTTATAATAAGCGCAAAATCCTGTGTACGTCACTAGATGGAGGGAGATACTGAAGAAGATAGTATATGAATTATCGAGAATTATCGCATTTGCTGAGGAGTTGGCGAGCTCGGACAGTTACTTGCAGGCGTGCAAGGGCGTGCATGCAATGGAGAGCTATTCTAGCTTGTCTTCTCACACATGCCCCACGTACCACTGCTTGAAGCCTCACAAGGCTTTTCAATGCCTTAAACGCCCGTCTCGCCTATATATAATTTTCATTGCCAGAATCAAGAACATGTATATATACATAGCAAATATTACTTAACGTCAAAAGGAAAATTAAGAAGATGGTTAAGTAAAACTTACAAGATGACCCCTAAAGTGAGATTGGATAGTAATAGCAGCCATATCCTCTTTAGACAGAAAATAGGTGCGGCCATTGTGCTTTGTAGATTGCCCATTTGCACTGCTTGTTCTAGTTGTAATGGTGTTGTTATGTAGAACAATGATTGTTTTATGTGGAGGAGATGACCTGAATAGTTTCTTACGGACACTGCCAAACCAATTCTTCTTGGACATCCTCATGTTTGATAAATGTTAGCTTCTAGTTTTGGTTAGTTTCAATTTTGGTAGAGCTTATGAATGGATAGATTTTTATGTGTGTTATTCATTCAGGGAAAATAAGGAAGCGTACGTGGGCAACATGTTTGTTAGGAAATAAGAGAATGGGGCAATGGGTATACTTAGAACGTGGCAAGATGAAATTGATTTTGTGTAGTAGTAACTTTTAAGTATTTCAAAAGACCATTCCAGCACCAGGGACCACTGATGTTAGGACATGGCCGGCCTGGGGACTTTTGAAGTAGTGGAATACCAACCCATAATAGATTAAAGTCAAAAGAAAGAAATTTTAAAATTAAATAGATTTAAGTTATATACGCCATATGATTTACCTTATTTATATAATTTAACATGCATGCAATAGTGGTGGTTAATTATTACTTTTATTAAGTTACTAATTAATACATTTACCATATCCTTTTCCTGTAATTATTTTATAAATAAGCTGTGTGAATATTTTTCGTACCTTTAGTACATTCAACTTAAATCAATTTAAAAAGATTCAACTTGTATAGTACCGGTTTGGGTCCAGCCGCTTGTTCTGCTTCTGCCAATGCGTACCATCCTTTACATTCAAACCAACGCTATTCCCTAGAAGTTGGCTGGTCAATTTTTATGTGTTTTTCTATATCGACCTATGCATTGCTCTCCTAAAGTATTTTTATAATATTACCCTCACGTTGTTTTCCGTTATGATTCGTTTAATTTAAGAATGAGATTATTGAGTTTCCTTTGTATTATATCGCCCAACCTATTTGTACCTACCATCTTATTATATATCTTTGCTTTCAAGCAGCGCAAAGTTGTAAACTAAAGCTGCTTGTCAGTTTCCCTTGTTTATAATCCGAAGGACATACCTATCTTTAGAATATTTAATCCACGATAGTACTATGGAAAGAGTTCACAAATCGTCATTTGTCGAAATGGCCCAAGAAGCGGTGAAGTCGGTGGTCGAAGAGTCAACAAGGGACGAAGTCGAAGAGTCAACAAGGGTCGGGGCCGAGGTCGAGTACTTTTGACAGAGTTATAACGGCTAGTTTCAAAATAGGATATTACAGAGAATATTCTAGTAAATATTCTCTACACTTATACTATTAGGATTTTTTGGAAGCATATTTCTTATAAATAGAAAAAGACATTATGATAGGAGATATGTGAGCAGGGCCGGCCGGAGCCTAAGGCCACTAAGGCAATGGCCTTAGGCCCCCAAAATACTTAGGGCCCCAAAATCTGTAAATAATAAGTATATATAATAGAGTTAATACCCTAAAACCCACTTAAACTATTATATTTTTGTCAGTTTCCTACTTAAACTATTCGGTGTCCCCAAAATTCCCTCCCCTCAACTATATTGCCCTTCATATTAAAACTCCCTCGTTGCTGACCTGGCATAACGTGTGTAAATATTCGCTTGGGAGTGCGTGTCAACGAAAAAGCCATCAAAATGGCTCATATGATAGAAAATAATGGCTAATTAGCCTAACCCTCTTTCACATTTTTTTTAATAAATATTCTCCTTATTTCAGTTATATCCACATTTCTTCCTCATTTTTTTCACCGTTCTTCTTTATTTTTTACTTTTCTCCTTTTTTTTCACCTTCTCTTTCATTTTTTAACCTTTATTCTTCAGTTCTCCATATGGGTTTTCTCTCGAAAAATTTCTCCCTCTCTTGTTTCCTTTGAAATGATTTATTCTCTTTCTTGTTTTAGTCTTCTTTCATGTCTTACGCATATTGTTGAAAGAATACCAATTTAAATCTTCTTATTAAATACAACACCTTGTAGAGAATAAAGTTGAATATCTTGAACCTTCTTTATGTCATTTGAAATTAGAGAATATAATTGTTGGCCAATTAATTTTTTATTGGCGAAATTTTATTTTGTGCAATCTTTTTAATGTAATATAAGATAATTTTTAGAAAATGCAATACTATATGCCTTTATTTATATTTTTAATGTGCTACAAAGTGAATATAAATAAGGACTTATTCAATTAGAGTTTAGCATAAAATACAATCACAATTATACCTAAAATTAATACAGTACATTAAATATTATTTTGGCCAAAACTCCTAAAATTAATCAATCATTCGAGAGTAATACATCATGAGTAAACTATGTAAAAAATAAATTTACAAACCATAAGTTAATATAGTTGGACAGATGCACTTTAAACAACATGAAATTTTAATATATAGGGGAATATAGTTC